TGCAAATCTGCTCATGAATTATAAAAATTAGTAAGACCGCTAAAGCGCAAATTAAATATTTAGGTCCACAATTAGTGGATTTGCTCTATAGCGGGCTGGTGCCACCACTGTGTATCTGTTAAAAAAAGTGAGCGATCTACTGACTTCCAACTGTTTGTGTCCAAAGATGGAGTCAGATGAGAGGAAGCTGCGGCAGGAAATCAACTATGCCATCAGAAACACACACGGTGTCAGGTACAGAGTTTTAAACATAAAACGTTAGCGCTTTGTTGTAATTCAAACTATTTGTTGTAAAAAGTGACATTTTTCCCAACAGGACAGGCTTGTTTACACCTGACTTGGCTTTTGAAGTCATAGTGAAGAAACAAATATCAAGTTTAAAAGGGCCATGTATTAAATTCATTGACTTGGTCAGTCAGGAGCTAATTACAACTGTGGATGAGTGTGTCAGCAAGGTATAAAAGTGCACGTTTCATGTGCATGCGTTGGAGATTTGCATGGYGCACCTTGGCCGTGTGTAGTTTTGGCTCTTTTATTTTTTGTCGTTGTTTTGCAGCTCAGCTCCTTTCCCAAACTGCGAGACGAGACGGAGAGGATGGTTATCGATGAAATCCGAGAGCAAGAGAGGAAATGCAGAGAGCAGGTCCTTCACTTCATATTTACACTGTAAAATTAACTCTTTCCATCAGATAACTGCATTATGAGCTGGTAAAACAGCTCCTCCTCTGCTTTATGTCTGCTCCTTTTAGGTCTTGTTGCTTATTGACATTCAGCTGGCCTACATAAACACCAAACATGAAGACTTCATTGGCTTTACTAAGTGAGGAGCCTCTGTGCTTTTAGAGAGAAATAAAACTGCAGCTTGTATAACATGATGTTCTCTTTATCAGTTCCCAGCCGGTGCACAATCACAGCAACACAAACACACCAGCACAGAGCCCTAAGACTCAGGTGAGTTCATTTCATTTTCTCTAGAATTATTAATAAAATAACGATAAACTAATACTCAGTGGTGGGCAGCGCCAATCCAAAAATTAGCTCCGCAGTTTCTAAAGCGCACATGAAAATATTTAGGTCCGCTACTTCAAAAACACTTATGCCATAGAAAAATTAACGGAAGCTAATTTTAAAGCGCAAGTTCAATTTGACGCTTATTAACTGGCAACAATTCATGTACAATATGCACAACACTGCTAACTAGTGGTGAATGAATCATTTTACAACTTAATCCTACAACCACTGATTGCTGGGGATCTGATTTCCTGAAACAGACCTTTAGCTCCTGGTGTAAAAATTAAAAAGTTGTTGAGGATTGCTAGTTCAGCTGCTTCTTTGTCTTTTTCTTTTGTTTGTTGTAGATTTTTCATTAAAGAAGCATCAATAAAGTAATTTTAAAACTGTTTATTGGAAAACTGAAGCGATGCTTAGTAAGACCGCTAAAGCGCAAATGAAATATTTAGGTCTGCAATTAGCAAATTTGCACTTTAGCGGACTGGTTCCCACCACTGAAGGACTGTTAGTATTATGATTAAAGCTTTATTTAACCAGGTAGATCTCATTGAGAGTCCTAAGACACAAACACTGTAAACCCAGAGACAGTTTGGTGATTACTTCAGTTGTATTCACTCCTCACCTGTTCTGGAAACAAACACAGTTAAACTTTGTGTCCAAATACTAAAATATTTACTGCAGTATTTTCTGTCTCTGTAGGTTCAGAATGTTGTGTGTCAGAGTGTTGTGTGTCATTACAAATGTCTGTTCTGTTAATTCAGCTGTGTTTAGGGTTCTGTAGAGCAGCCAGGATTGTTGTTGGCTTCTCACAGGAACAAATCTGCATTTTTGTCTCAATCTTTTGTTGGTTTATGTGGAACACATTCATGTGAGAATGAGGATAAATGAAAACACATTATAAGTGTGTTGGGTCTCCTTCAAACACGACGCTGACAGTGTTTGTTGAGCAGCAGTACAGTGTAACCACCAGATGGAAAATCAAACAGAACACCAGGCACTTTTATAATTAAACATGCTGTGTTTCTGTTAGTTTCTGTGGAAATGATGAGTGACAGTCCTTAAAACAAACAAACTCCTCCATGACGTGCTGCTTTGTCTCCTTCTCTCTCCAGGGCGTGGCCAAACTCTCAAGTCTAATAGTAAGAGACCGTTTTTTCACTCTTTTACTTCCTGCTGCTTTCTACTCTGTGTGTGTGTGTGTGNGCTGGAATAAAAACAGTCAGCGGGAATAAAAACAGTCAGCTGGAATAAAAACAGTCAGCGGGAATAAAAACAGTCAGCTGGAATAAAAACAGACAGCGTGATTAAAAACAGTCAGATGGATTAAAATCAGTAAACTGGGTTAAAAACAGTCAGCGGGATTAAAAACAGTCAGCGGGATTAAAAACAGTCAGCAGGATTAAAAACAGTCAGCTGGATTAAAAACAGTCAGTTGGAATGAAAAGTCAGCAGGATTAAAAACAGTCAGCAGGATTAAAAACAGTCAGCGGGATTAAAAACAGTCAGCAGGATTAAAAACAATCAGCAGGATTAAAATCAGTAAACTGGATTAAAAACAGTCAGATGGATTAAAATCAGTAAACTGCAATAAAAACAGTCAGCGGGATTAAAAACAGTCAGATGGATTAAAATCAGTAAACTGGATTAAAAACAGTCAGCGGGATTAAAAAGAGTCAGCGGGATTAAAAACAGTCAGCAGGATTAAAAACAGTCAGCAGGATTAAAAACAGTCAGCTGGATTAAAAACAGTCAGTGGGATTAAAAACAGTCAGCAGGATTAAAAACAGTCAGATGGATTAAAATCAGTAAACTGGAATAAAAACAGTCAGATGGATTAAAATCAGTAAACTGGGTTAAAAACAGTCAGCGGGATTAAAAACAGTCAGCGGGATTAAAAACAGTCAGCAGGATTAAAAACAGTCAGCGGGATTAAAAACAGTCAGCAGGATTAAAAACAGTCAGCTGGATTAAAAACAGTCAGCAGGATTAAAAACAGTCAACTGGATTAAAAACAGTCAACTGGATTAAAAACAGTCAACTGGATTAAAAATAGTCAGCGGGATTAAAAACAGTCAGCGGGATTAAAAACAGTCAGCAGGATTAAAAACAGTCAGCTGGATTAAAAACAGTCAGCAGGAATAAAAACAGTCAGCAGGAATAAAAACAGTCAGCAGGAATAAAAACAGTCAGCAGGAATAAAAACAGTCAGCAGGATTAAAAACAGTCAGCA